CTACCACCAACTCTTGTTCTATACTAGAGCAAACTGACCCAAGTCTGTCTTTGGAAAGAGGAGGAATCCTAAGAAATTAAAAACACCTTATTCCAGGGTGGTATTTAAAAATGTATTCATCACAAGAGCTGTTAAAGCAAGACTTGGAATATATTGGGCAAACAGTCATTAAACAGGATTATTCATGTTTTATTAGTGTAGAATGAAAGTGTTTTTCTTCCCATCAGGGAACAGATCCATTGGGTTACTTGTCTTCATTCAGTTAAAGGAACAGATCTATCAATACATGCAGCTTGTCACACACACAGCAAAGACAGTGGGCATCAAAAGGATTTGCAGTGCCCTAGAAGAAGCTGTGGGAGCTGAAATTAAACAGATGTGCTTGGAGGGATAGTAATTTTGTGCCTGGAGCAGCTCTGACAGCCTGTGAAGGTAGTTGTGAGAAGAACTGGCCAAGGCTCAGAAGAGGGTGACAGGTTTCTGGAACCTTCCATTAGCTGATGGCATGGACCAGCCCCATCACTACACAACAATCACCTCCTAGGATTTTCAAGAACAGCTCTTAGACTTTGTCCTCACTTTGCCATCAGGGATAATGTCTTAAAACTCTAGAGGTTTTGAGGGAGGAATTTTGTTTGGGTTTTGAAAAATAATTTCCCTCCCCCCTTAACTATTTCTCCTCTTATATTTTCTCTGTGGTAATTGAAGTAGCTGCTGATGCCAGTGGTGACAAGTCCCAAGAGAGGAACTAAGCACACAATTTAGGTTAATTCTTTGAGATATCATACCTTGCCCTGGATGACTTGGACAGAAGAAGTGCCAGGCAGGAGAGAAGAGGGGAAAGATTATGTAAATATCTTTCTAGGAGACAATATTTTCAATTTTGGGATAGTTATCTATACCTATACGTTGCTTGATATGTTTGGTTATCCATATATATGGATATATTAAAAACTAGCTTCAATTTCAGATATGAGAAGAGCATGTTCCACTCTCCTCCTGTCAAACCAGAAAGCTTGGAGGACCTCTGGGAGAACCTGAGCCTAAAGCCTGCGAGTTCCCCACAAATGAACATCTCAGACAGTTTGTCCCGTCGAGGTAAGCCAAGTAGTGTCACAGTCATTTGTTTGAGGGAGAAGGAAGATAAATCTTTAGGACTGGAAAGGCTTATGCCTGTCAGATTGGAGAAGGAGGCAAACTGACTCCCCCAGGATTTTCTTTTGAACACCATGTCATGAAAAGGCAAATTATATTTGTTGCAGGTTTGCTTTTTACCTTTTTATTTCATCAGGCAAGAGCCATTACCTCTAGTTAAATAAATCAGTGTTGAATTTTGTGGAGAGCTTGATGTGTAGAGCTTGATTTGAGTTAGGAATGTTCTTTGTGATATTCAATTATTTGCCCTACTTTTGTGCTTGACTTAGTCATGGCCAATAATGTACTGTTAGCTGCAAGTCCTCCCTAGCTTTTGTGCTGTTTATCTGCACATGCAGCACTTCTTCAGTATTGTGTGAAACTGTTTAGCTCTTCTCTTTCAGACTAAACTATCATCTAGAATGTTTTTCTTCCTGTGGTTAAAAGGGCTAATGTGCCCTAGAAACTCTCAAGCCAGGAGAGAATTGTGGAAGCTCTGATAAAGGATAATGGGATTATTTTTTTTTAAAATCACATATCTAGAACAAAGACTGTTTGCAAATTAGAGCACAAAGAATGTAAGGCACTCGAGAGTTATCCAAAGGCAGTTCTCCCACACTTGTAGCTAACTAAACAAATGGGCAATTCTTGCCTTTTGTGGTGATAAAAGGCACTTCAGGCTGATAAGGGCCACACTCTCTGCTACTGTAAATGTCTATTTTGGTAAAATCAATCCGTTAGGGTAGGCCTGGTGGAAGGAAGTCATGTTTCTGCACATGCTGAATGTCTGTGCTTTGTGCACCCTTCCCAGTTATTAATGAAGTGTGGCAAGAACAAACAATTGCTCGTCTGCTGCAGCTGGTTGACCTTCCACTCCTGGAGTCTTTACTTGAGCACCAAGAGATCAGACCTCAGCTTCCTCCCCCCAGGAACGGACCTGGGTATGTCATCACCAGTAACTACCTGGACAGAGAGATTCTCAAGGCTTTCAGTGACTCACAGTAAGTATTTGTTGCTCTCTGCAGCTTGGGAAAACTTTCTGCTTTTGTGGGAATATAAAGCACAGTTGATGTCTAGAGATGGAGTAGGCTTAGTCCTACAGAAAGGATGTGAGTAGGCACTTTTCTGCCTGTTGGACCTGACTGGAATAATTGGTAAATAACAGTTAGTTAGCTCTAAGCCAGAGTAATGAGAATTTCTGCTGAACAGTGGAATGGTTTTTGAATGCAGTGCCAGGAGCTGATGGTATTCAGAAGGGAAATGGTTTGCTGTGTTGAGGGAAGAATAGATTTTTGCTATCATCTTGAAAGTCTTCCCTAAAAAAATCACTTGTGAGAGAATAACTTAGTTCCTCCTACTATATTAAAAGAGCCAAGAACACTGAGCTTGAAACTATGCATAGAGTTAAAAACATTGTCTGAAAAACTTCTACCAGTCTGAATCAGATCAAGGTTCATGTTTCTGTTTATCTAGCAATAACTATGTCCTTATCTAAGAGTAGAGGACATCGTTGACTTTAGGTTTAACTGCTTGTGACTGTTTACCTGTATGGGTTACTAATTCTTCATCTTGATTAAATACATAACAAA